CTGGAAAAAAATTCTTCTGAGAAAAAAGTTTGAAATTTGGGAGAAAATTTGTTGCATATTTTTGTAGTCTTTTACAAAGTTTAAAACTTGGGTTTTGTTAGAAAAGGAACTCTATTTTAATTGAAAATTCTTAAAAATGGATTATTAAACGTACCATAATAAACCATATCACTTTGAAATGTGGCTGCTATAGATATGGCCAATACTGTATATATTTTAACATTAAGCTCGACGCTAATACCCACCCTTGATTCATCTGAACGAGTGGTAGCGCATATCATTATCTGAGCGATACGTTGATTTTGTAGTATTTTGCGGCGACACTTAAAAGCATAATTCGCAGTGCGTGCTCGAAAATGTGTAAAAGGGTTTAAATTTTTTATGCTTATACATACATACATTAGGGCGAATCAATTTGTATGACACTTTGCGCGTATAGCACAGAAGGATTCTTCGTGTAGTTTTAAGCAAACTTTCCGAAGAAATCATGGGCCTTAAATCAATTTGGTGTTTGCCAAATTGCTAAAATAGGTTTCTAAGCATTTTGTTGTAGTGTCGTAAAGAAGTGGTTAAATTTTGTAGAAAAACATGCTATAATGATTTTTTTTGTTTGTTATGAGGAATCCATTTATGGACTTAACTTTTTCTTAAAAAATCCACCAGAGCGCGTTAAAGAGAAAATTTTCACATTTTCTACGAAACTTATTTTCGCAAATTTTGCAAACTCCAAATTGATTTTGGACCCATGGTTTCTTTAGCAGATTTGCTATGCTATACGCGCATAGTAAAATATAATTGACCCGCCCTAATGTACATATATTTTTATCCGATGGCAGAATTTCACCATTTGCATTACAACAGGCAGGAAACTGCTATACACCTTCACACTTCCGGCAACAGCTGTGCAGTTGTATAGTCACTTTTGCGTGGGTGGCAACTCCTTTCACACAGCACATTGGCTGGCTCATGTTTTGCGGATACGGGTCGTGCTTTGTTTTTATGACATTTTGTTATGCTGCGGCTCGTGTATAGAGTAGGGAAAACTTCTTTCTTCTTCTTTGTCGATATCATCTCATTCAATTTGTTGATGATGTGAGTGCTGTTGAGCGCTGATGTTTATGTTATTACGCTTTTGTGATGGTGGAGATGCTGAAACTCTAATGCTGATGTGTTCCAAGCGGCAGCTATTGTTGTTGTGTTTGATGTTTTGAAGTGTCTTTGATGCCAAATGAGGTCTGCTAGGTACTACATACATATGCTTGCTGTTGTGTCATTTGAAGTGCATGGGTGTGAAAGGTTCGATTTCAAGTGTGTTTTGTAAATGTGACTATAGTCCTACCACAGCTCGCAGTTAGCTGGATTGATCCACGGCACTCACCTCCTTTGCCTCTTTTGCGTAGTAATCTCTTCGCTGTTTCACTTCAAATAGTGCGTATACGCAGTGTTGTACCCGATTAAGTTCCATTTAGCTGTTGTTTACATATGTATGTATGTATGTATAATGCACATTCGATTGCCTGCTTTCGATTGCTCGTAAATCGAAATCCAACATATGCCTACATTTATCAGTTCAATATCGTTCACCTCCACCGCATGGCATAGGTCAAGCTGTGTGCTTGAAATTTAATTTAATTTGTCAATAAACAAAAACATCAATTTTTTTCGTGCGCGCTCCTCTCAACCTCAGCCGGCGAAGGCCGCCTTTGATTTTCGGTCCAACATTACGCGCTGTTGATGGCCACTGACGTTTCAATTTTTGGTATTCATCTCCATGTTCGGGGTTTGCTGCATTATTTACTACTCGCATGCAGCGCAATATATTACTTGTTTTTAATTTTTTTTCTGGCGCATACCTACTTTTCATTAACCTGTGGCACTTTTTGCGTACATTTGGTTTCATTACATTTGCAAGTATTTTATTTGACGACGGCCCCCCAGCTATGCGTTTTATGTTAACAACATATTTTGTATTTGCTTTGGCCACGCGCCTACATCCCTCCATCTCTCACTCTCTCTTTCTTTGCTTTTTCGTACGCTTCCAATGCATTGCTTCATTTCACCATTTTACGCGTTCGTAAAAAATCCATTCAATCATTTCTTGCATGCAGTGTTGTGTGATCCTTTAACCCCGTGGCTGTGGTTGAACGCGCTTCAGCCGCCCTCGCATTACACCTAAAAATCGTTGCTTACTCCTGCTGCATACCCAATTTTTCGCGGCCGTGATTCCAATTTTTATTTAAATTATGATTCTTAACAAATTAAATCCGTTACATATCATAAATAATCTGTGGCGAATGTAACGATTGGCATTCGTTGACTTTTATCTTTTTACAAGCTTTTTTTTTTTTAATTGTTTTTGCTTTCGACGGTTGTAATGGCGCTTTTGCTCACTCATTCTTTCATCAATTACAGATTTCATTTTCGGCGTTGTTATCCATACGCCCAGTATTTTTTTCAGGATTTCCATGAAATTTTTGTTTCATTTGCATTTGCGCTGATTTTGTTTACTTAGCTCCGCTGTGCGTACTCTTGTGCTACTACATGCATACATACGTACATTGTTTAAATGCTACAGTGATGTGTTTATTTTACCTTTTTATACACATTTATAAATTGTTAATAACACCATACATACATTCATGCGCGCCAACAATGGTAAATTGCCACGCGATTGAGCTATTCGAGCGCTACGAGAGTTCAAACAGCACGCATTGAATAATTTGTTGTTTGTTTTATGCGAGTAAATAAATAATGTATATTTTATTTTGGCTCTTGTGGAAAATTCATAAATACATACAGAAATTTTAATTGATTTAGCATTTTTATATTATTTCGTATAACAATTACCACTCTGGCGGTTGGGAGTTTCGAGAGCAAATATTTGCAAAATAAAATAGTAATTTAGGCAACGAGCTTTTGGATGAAAAGTGCTTGGTTTCTTTGCAAAGTGCGCAAAATAAATGTCGGCAAATTTCATTGATTTTCGGTAGTTTATACTCTAATAAAAAGCTCTTAAAAAGACAAGGTTTGCGCACGATTTTTACTAGTAAAATTTTTCAGATCCAAAATTTTTATATTTTGAACTGAACCTACCTCTGATAAATATACAAAAATTATCACACAAATTTTGAAAAATATTAATAGGAAAAAGGAACTGGCAAAAACCAAGGGGTTTCAAAACCCCGAATGGAGCCAAGAAGATTGTCCCACTTAAAAAAAAAAAAAAAAAAAAAAATCCAAATATATCGGGAAGAAAAGTAGCGGAAAAAGTGCAATGCACTCAGGCTTTCGATTGAAAAGTTAAAAAGAGGAAGCGCTAAAGTCATACCAGGTCCAGAAAGTTCTAGATAGAAAATAAAAAAAAAAAAAAGAACTTCGAAGCGAAGAAACGAGCCGTAGGACTTCACCGTGATTTCATACAGAATTTTGACTGCTACATTATGGATGTACATGGCGACTTGTGCAGCTGCCGGGTGGCGATTTTTATGTCGCAAGCGGTAGAGACAATGTTCAAGAGAAGTACAAAATCCAAAAAGAGACAACGTTTCTTACGAAATTTTTGGTATGGCCGGTAATATGTAGTTGTGGTATGCGTAGCAGTTCGTTTGTTACAAATGGGATTATTAACGCGGAATAACATATCATAAAAACGACTTTGACCATTTAAAGGGCAGCATGAAATTATTACATTTTTTAGACTGATTTGGTTTCATGCTATTACAGCAAATCAGCAGTTGAATGGTATGCGAAAAATAATATGTATATCATTTGTACCCAGACATGCGAATCCACCGAACCTCCCTGAGCTCAAACCCATTGAACAGGTTCTGGTAAAAAGGGTTCTGAGGGGCTCAAGACAGGTTGCTAAAGTAACTAAAATTAAAAAAAAAAAATGATTCTTTTCCACTAAAAAAAAAAATTACTGAAAACGCCATAAAAAGCCTAATTTAGGATATTTCGGAAAAAGTTACATTTTTTATAGAAAAACAACTAACGAACAAATTATTTACAATAAATGTAAAAATGAATAGGATTTAATCGAATACTTTAAAAGTAATTGGTATAGTTTTGTGCACCAATTTCGCAAAACTTAGACAGAAACATTAAATTTAGCTGCGTGAAAGTCCTAAGAGATTTGGGCGAAGTTTGGAATAAGACGTCACTCCGCTTCCTCCTTTCCAGATTTCGACCATTTTTATTCAGCTCATCGAGGTCATCATATGCAGATGATTGGCACTAGCGCTAGCGTAAAAACAATATCAGGCATCTCGTTGGTCGTTGAGCAGAAGCTGATTTTTAATAGGGGTATTCTCGGAGTCTTACAAAGCCCTTCCAACCTGCACGGATTACACGGTAGAAACCGATATTCCTATGCGGTAGCTCTGTAAACCGCGCACCGTGCAGGACTTTGCAAGACAGCGCGAATACCCCTAATATAAAATTTTGGCAGAATATTGCACCCACAATTTTAAACTTTTTTCACAATTGTAGGAAACATTTTAGGTATACAGTTTTATAGACCATGAAAATTTAGTAGGCGCTGGAAAAACGCGTTTTAATATATTTTTTTTGCTCGTTATGTAGAGTGTTAAATTTTGATAAAAAAAAAAATTGGCAAAACTAGTAAAAAATGCCACTGAACTTAATCAGCTCACCACAAGTGTACATATGCATATTATTACTCTTTTTGTAGGACTTCCTTTATTCGCCAAAAAAGCTAGAAATAAAAAAAACTTCCTGTATCATTTTAGTATAAAAAATATAGTAATTCCAAAAAGACTACGCGCTTGAAAGGATTAATTTTTAAAATATTTATATCATGGCGCAGTATAACACTCAATTAATTTTTTTCGAGCAATTTACTTTGCTTTAAGGGGTTAATAGTTTTTGTTTTAGCAATATTTTCTATACAAAGTAGCTTAAATGTAAAATCATTTTTCTATTACGTCATTGTCAATCACCACTAATTCCATGTCTCTTTTTTCTTTTTCTCTTTACAGGTAGGTGACAATGTATGTATACAAGTAATTGTACATAAATGTTTATGGCACACCCAAATCGTAAGCCAATTTTTTTTATGTACCGAAATCTCTATTCTAACTACGAGCATTAACAGCAACAAATCTTCGAGTATACATTTTTTGTTTGCAGTTTTACTCGTTCTGGCATTTTTCCGCCTAAAATAATTAACTGTTGCTCACTAATTACTTTTAAAAATCACGGAGCTGCCAAATTGCTAAATTCTTTGTACGTACTTACAAAGGCTATGTAGGTGCGAGTATAGGTGTACATATGTATGCATGTAAACTGATGAGGATTGAAGCATTTAAATACCGCTCCGAAATTATAAAAAAATTTTTTTTTATTTTTTTTGTTAGCTTAATGCAAAAAATTTCCAACTTTAAATCAATAAGCCTGTTACCATAAACAAATTTCTTCACTCATTATTTGCTGCTCATTAGCAATATCGTTTACGAATGTTTACACAAATATTAAGGTTGGTTATGCCAATTGAGTCAGAAAAAAATGTATTAAAACAAAACATAAACAAATAAAAAACTTTTAAATAAAAATTCAGCCTGAAATATGCAAAAAAAAGTTTTTCCAATGAGCAACTCGTAATGAGGGGCGGTTGTTGATTTTATCGCCCCTTAATATTTTTGTTTACACTTAATTCTGCCTAATTTCCACACCTTTGCGGCAATTTATTGCAAACTTTAAGCAATTTGAATATTTCTTGGTGATTAATTTTTATAGTAACTGCTGCTATTATTTGGTTTTTTTAGTATTGCACTATTTATTTTGTTTATAATTTTAAAAATTTATGCTTGTTTATGTTAATGACGCAGGAACAAAGTTTAACCGGTTGTTTTGTATCTATTTGGGAATATTCTTAGATGTACATATATACATTGATACTGGCAAGCACGGACCAGAAAAGCTAAAAGAAATAAGTATCTAGATATTTTTTGATATGTATGTAGACCAAGCACGGTGGGTCAGAGAAATCTGTTTTGCCCCAAAAATATATGCCTTATTTTACATTCTCAGATTACAAACGTTCATTTATTCCTTGGTCTATTCATGCAAAATGTATGAAAAGTAGTCGATGTCCTTAAAGCGAAGTTGAGAAAGCGGACCTGATTCAAATAAGTTCTATTCAATTGGCTTCCTATCTGAATTAGTATGTTGACTGCATAACTGACGACGAGTTAGTTGTCCAAGCTAGTTTTCCATGGCCTCTGTATTCTACGTTCTCAGAGTTTTAGTCAGCGTTGTCATCGACAAAGCCTCTTATCCGCATTAAGCTTGATAATTAACTCTCGAACTTAATCCAGATCAACTGCAGTTATTTGGCGAGATTAACGAGTTGATCATGATCACGGCTGCCGTCTGGTTATGCTTTAATAAGGTCTACAGCATTGTAAAATCAATGGCGATGAAGACATCAGAAATTTCTGTCATATGTGCCATAACATATACGTATATATGCTTCGAAATCAGGGTTTATGGAGAGAAAGAGTAAAGAGCATATCAAGGTTCTCTCCCATCTAAATTCTCAGACAAGAAACTCATGCTGGCCACAACCCCGTTAGTAACCGAATTCAACCGGCCTTTGGACATAATTCTTCCTCGCAGATGCGACTGCAATACCATATTTGAAATGTCTGTCTGCAACTATGCCCTAAACACTCTATCCTTCTAGGGTGAAGAAAGTCTCTGTATTCTTTATTCACCACATTAGTAAATGCTGCGCGTAAAAGTATGCAATGTTAGATTCATAAGCAACTTCTAGAGGCTCGTTTGCTCATTATTTTATTCGCCAACTAAGTACTTCTCAAACGTCAAATGCAAAATTGTATTTATGTAAAACCTTTTTTATTTTGTTTTCAATTATTTACAAAAGTGACCAAACTAGCTGGTAAGCACACAATTGTGATCTTTTAATTTTTATTATAAGTATTAGTATAAGTATTCCACTTTGTTTGCACTCGAAAAGTTTTGCTTAAAACATACACGTTTTCGAACCTGTCCGACATAGGTAATTGTATATCATAAACGATTCGTTAATTTAAATTTATTCACCAAAAAGCAATGCATATACATTTCAATATTTAACAATAAACACGAAAGCGGTTTAATACGAGTATTCTTAAATAATTTCCATTCGTTACTATTTTAACGATTTGCTTAATTAAAAAAAAAAAAATTGCATTTTATTGGTTTCATAATCACCAAGAGATCTTCAAGCGAAACTATAAAAAATTCGCTTAATATTATTTAGATCGAAATTAACGATAATGTGGTGCTATAAAATGAAAATAAATAATACCAATGTGCATACATACATATGCATACATTAGACTGCATCAATTTCCATACAGAAAAATAAAATAAATAAAATTTTTACTATGGGCGGCTGAAAAATTTACGGGCGAATTTATTTTTCGAGCGAAACTCAGGTTAAGACAAATTAAGATTTACCTGAGTTGGACCAATTTAAAAATACCTCTAAAAAATGAGCTTTTTTTATCAACAAAAATAGCTTTTCTAAAGTATTTTTGAAAAAAAAATATGAACTCAGATGACAAAACGGTTTAAGCTTAAAAATTTGCAAAAGATATTAAAAAAAAAATTCAACGGAATCACAAGATTTCTATGATGTTTTTATATTTTTTTTTTTCAAAAATTCATTTGAAAAACTTTTATAACTCAGCCCAAAATCAGCTTCAAACTCCTCGTTATGATCATTCCGTTGAAACTTTTAAAAAATATTTTTATGCAGATTTTTTTAAGCTCAAATTGTTTTATCTGGGGTAATTTTTTTTTTCGAAAATAAAATTATGGCCTTTTCTTTTCTCCCGAAAAATGTTACCTTCTCAGTGCCCTCTACGCACAAATACTAGGGAGAGGGCAATGAAAAGGCAAAATTTTTTGTAGAAAAGAAAAACGCTACAAATCCCAATATTTTTCCGAAATATTTTGGCGAAATTTAAAATAAATAAATTTTTTAATACCGGCGGAAAAACCACAACTTTTTTTTGTGATGCAGTCTAATGCATGCAGATAGATATATATGTGCATACAGAGACGTATATCTATATATGTATACATACATATATGCATAGGTATATTCATTTATATAGCCAGAAATAAACGCTTCAATAATAAAAAAAACCTTTCCAGCACATGGATGGCGAGAGAATTCCAAATTAATTGTTCGCATTGCGGTTTATGCATTTCTCAAAAATTTCGCAACACATGAAAAATTGCAAATAATTTTGAATTGTGTTTTATTGTTTTTTTTTTGGTAAAATGAAAATTAAAAAAACCAATTAGTAAGTTTGAAAATAAAGCAGCCAGCAATATTTCTTTCCATAAACCTTCAGATTTAGCTGCCATGACTTTGAGCGAAAAAAAAGTAAAGAACATGAATTATTCACGCTGATATTTTTAAAACAAAGCATTGAGGTGGGTTGAAAAATAATTTCATTATGCATAGTCGACGCGATCAATGGCGATCACGGCATCTGCGTGCGAGTACCTATCATCTGGCTCTGGCTTCTATTGATCGGCAAGCATTCCATTAGTTCACCTCTGCGCTGAAACTTAAATAGTTGTAGTAGGACAAGCGTTGAAAACAAGAAATTTCGAAATTTTATGTTTTTTCTCGTCTCCATTTTTTTTTTATATTTTGTTTTGGTATTTAACTTGTTTTTCACTTTAATGACACTTCGAATTGAAATGTGTCTCGATCGCTGCGGTGTGCTGTCGCTAAAACGCTTGTGTCGCTCATTAGCAGTTCTTCATCAGATTTTTTTCTTCCTATTTTTTGTTTTTTTTAGGTGTGTTGAGGTGAGGTTTGCTCTGTTCCGCCGGTGATTTGACCAAAATGTTTTTAATTTGTTAATTTTCTGTGGTCCTGCGATAGCTCGCCGATTCTTTGATTTGTTTGTTTATTTTTAGCTGTGCTCTTGGTTTGTTGGTTTCATGTCATAATTCGAATAGCTACAATTTTTCATAAATTTTTTGGTTTTGTTGTCTATTTAAATGGCAACTTTTTGTGTAGTTCTAGTTCTGTTTATGTCATGTTAATTTACCTGCGACAAAATTTAAATTTTTTTCCACGCAGATTATTCTTTTGGTTAGCGAAGGCAACGTTTGCTTTGAGTCAATAAAAATTTTAATTTAAAACTATGTTAAAAGCATAAATTTATACATTTTAGCGATAGCTTTTTTTCTTGTAGTTTTTTTTCGAAGTCATTTAGGCGAGCTTTATTGGCTTTTAAGAGAAACGTGCAAAAAGTTGTTAATGCATTTTATGGTTCCAAACTATAGATATTTATTGAATTTATGAAACTGTTTTAAATGTAAAAAATAGAAAGGCAGAAAGTTATATTACTTCTATGGGTGAGGTGAAGTTCAGAGATAGCAATGGTGTAAGTAATGGATATAATCAAAGAAAAAGAGTGATAGAAATGTGATAGAGACAAAAAAAAATAGTGACGCAAATGGAAATAGGTTGTAACTCATGACTCCATAGGCTGCTAGCCAAAAGCGCCGTTTTACAAACTCTAAAGGATGGCTGTACTGTCAGCGATAGGATCAACGAGAACAGCATTAGAGTCGCTCCTAGGTTGGACTCCACTTCATATTTTTGTCCAAGCAGCAGCAGCCTCGCGGAATTCCCAAACGCAAAATTTTGACGGTACTCGTAAAAACACGACACAACATAATGGTATTTTGAGCGAAATACCAGGCTTAGGAGTTCTCCGAACTATGCCAAAGGAACTCTGCTTCGGAAAAAAATTCCAGATCAAAATTCCAAACCGAGATGTCTGCTCAAATGGTTTACCTAAACTAGATCCCAGATATATACACCGATACACAGACGGATCAAAAATGGATATCAGAGCAGGGGCCAGTGTCTTTGGACCTGGCACTAAACTCTCTATTGCAATGGATACCTGGTCCACGGTCTTTCAGGCCGAGGTACTAGCAATGTAAATTT